AACATGTTAAAAGAACTCTTCCAGTTAGAATTTCGGGTAAAACTCTTTTCAGCCTCAAGTTAAAACAAATTACAGCCAGTTTGTTGGGAAAGGAGTTCATTTAATAGAACACCTGTCACATCCAGACAACCAACAACTTGATTATCTAAATAATTATATTATTGATCAGCAGTTCCTTCATCCTGTCTGTGCCTGGTTGATGAGAAATTCCCACTTATTTTTCCTTTTTTGTATGTGTTCTTATCTGAATCTTTTGGAGTCAGGTTTGGACTCCGTAACTCCAACCTCATGTCTAGGCACATAAATTGGTCTGCATTAGCTATTGATGTCTCTCATTGTTGGCTAATTTAGATATTTGATTTTTGTATAAAACTTAACAATGCAAGTGGTAACTTAATAAACACAAGAAGGAAAATAAATTACTTCGTTCCTTGTTTCAGGTATAAACACACAAAACCACCTCTATCATTTCGGTATTTCGCTTGCCTCATTTTTTGGTAAGTTTTTTCAGCATCAGAATTTGAGAGGGTAAGGCTCAACCATTTATGCCAGAAAAAAACAAGTCACAGGCCTGCACTTTTGTACTCTCAGAGTTTGAATTGGATCATTATACATTTATCTTTGCTCTTGCAACCTCTCATACTGAACAGGAATCATGCTACATCTATGTAAAAATTCAACACTATTCAAATTCTTTTAGAACAATCTATGATTTTATTCAAATTCAATCTAAAAGCTTATGTTCAGTATATCTGTACTAAAAACCTGTGCTATAAAAATAGAGGCATAATTTTATTTCTTTTTTTTTTACTAGATAATCTACAAGGTGCTGTTATATTTTCGAGCTTTGATATTTTGGTTACGGTGATCTAAAAAATGTTACCCATTTCGTATCTTACCCTTACCAAAACAAGATTATGCCTGCACAGATTGTGCAGTGTTCATCTTTGGAGAAATTTGGGCACTGTCCTGGGTAGCCTATACATGCCTGAACTCAGTGATCTGAAGGGTCCTTTCCCCAACAATTCTGTGATTCTGTTCACTAAGATAATCTGAAGACAAGAGAATTTATATTCCTATCATACTATTCACTTGACATAAAGAGTGAGATTCTTCTTTTCTGTATAACAGACCTACTTTAAAATGTAAGTTAAAAAATTAAAAATGGATCCAGCAATGACTCCATAATCAGAGTCTTTTTGATAAGAGGACTGAGTCCTTTTTGTCATCACACTGATTGTAATAAAATCTGTCACAGAGAAAAAGGCCATGCTCATATCTCCAGTCAGTGATAACAACTGATGATGTGATCCAAAGGTAGAAAACTCTACTTCACTTGCTATTTCTGCATCATTTTTGACCTTGCAATTGCCACAAAAAAAAAAAAAAAGTCAGAACAAATTACGCTGATGAGCATAAGAGATCAATAAGTTGAAAGTCAGTAGAGTAAAAAGAATTGAAACATGAAAACCTGGTCAAAAACTGAGTAGTACATCAGCATATCTGTAAGACACGCCATGAGCAAGATATTCAGAGAGCCTCTGTGTCCCTGTCTTTACTGCCCACCATGGCTGAGCACCTGGGGGTTGGAAATGCGTGGAAATAATGGCAGTGCCTTCTGAGTCTTCCAACAATGCAGTTACAGTCTCAATAGACAAAGAACTAAATGAAGTTCCCTAGTCTACTGTGTTTAATGTGGGGCCAACCTGAAGATCTGTCCTCTTATTTTCTGTCTATCAAAAGGCCTCCTTTACTAGTGTGTGAAAGCATATTGCAGAGGATGTGTTTATAAAAAATTAACTGTAAGTATATGCAATTGCACTGATTGGTTCCTTTAACCCATTTTAAAAATACTTGTTTTTAACAAAAAAATGGAGGGTTAGTTTCTGTGGAACAAATTTTCCGTTATCAGCACTGTCCAGGCATTCTGACATGCTGAAATTTGGGAGCTCAGCTCTTACTGCAGCCATCAACACCTCAAGACATTTGGCTGGCATCGTGGTTGTGCCAGGAAAGACATCAGTGCAAGTCCCTGTGCCACGGGGGCCTTGCTTGTGTTCACGAGAGCCTCCCCTGCAGAGCATCAACAGCTTGTATCGATGCAGAGCAGGTACAGGGAGTAGATGTATTAGTCAGCCACCAATGAAGTGGCCAGATGCTGATAGTGAGCATCATCAGAAACAGGGCAACATTCACACTGAACTGATACCCTGCAACGCTGCTGAAATGCCTGTGAACTGCTCAGCCTTGCCTGCAGCGCTTGCCTGCACTGGGGTTCGGAGTTGCAGTCTAGACTTAACATCAGGTACTGCTCTGGAAAACACATTGCTCTAGTTCTTGTAAAAACAGAGTGAATTGAGAAGCAGCTGGATTTTTTGAGGAACACTTTCTGTGCTGCAGATCTCATTTTTAATAAAGACAAACAAGTAAGGACTTACCCTGCTCTCTCGTATTACAAAGCAGAGGAAATCGCTGGCATCAGGTACGAGTGCTGCTACCACATGAGAATACAGATAAACAGGCTTAGAAAAACTGAGACATCTGGAAAGATGGAGTAAAAATTATACAGAAAATACAGTATGTAACAGTACATATGGCTAATGGAAAAGCAGCTCCAGGATGCAGCCAAAAATCTCTTCACTTGGGACTGCACTCACCCCAGCTATTCACACTGGATCTGCCCAATGGTTGAAAATTGCCAAGCAGGGGTGGAGGATATGAAAATTACTGTGCAATGAAAAGTAATAGCTTAGAGCACTGCCCTTTAGTGTGTTCTATAGAAGACAGATACATGATGGTCCCTTTTTCGCCCACAGAACCAAAAACTCCTTTCTGACACATAGGAGTCAGGAAGAAGTAAAACCAAGATAATGAAAAAACAACCCCCTCTTATGCTGTGACTTGGCAAGTTACCTGAACTATTTACTACCCAACTTCTCTGGAAGTAAGCTGTGAGATAAGGGTGTTACATTATCAAATGCAGAAGTATGTTATTAAAGCCCTCCAAACTTTACAAATGAAAAGCAGTTCATGCTGTCCTCATGTATTTTTTTCTCATGATTTCAGTTCTTTAGAAGACTGTCCTTTGCTAAGGTCATCTTCAAGATTAGGGGACTGTTGGTCTGCCTTTCAAGTTGTTCCTCACATTCACACATCCTTGGCACTGGGCAGTCTCCAGTTCTCACTTTGTAATCCTCTGGCTGGTTCTGACAACTCCCAATTTCTCATTTCTTTCAATGCTGGATCATTTACTTGAATCAGTTCTTTGAAAAAAGAGGCCTTTTTGCAGACCTCTGATGTGTTTCTTCCTTCTTCTCTGGGGAATCCAAGACAAATTGCTTTATTCTGAAGGTCTTCTTTCACTACTGCACCCTAGATCCTCAGCTTTTTAATCAAACAGAGAGGTTGTGCTCTGCCTCCACTGCCAGACTTGTTTACCAATAAATATTCAAAAATTATCAAGAAAGACCATTCTACTTTCTCCCAAATTGCCTTTTATGCATGGGAGGAATTTCTTTAATTAATTTCAGCTCTGAAACTCTTTGCTGTAATTCCAAACAGCTGCTGTGCTGTCCCCACTCTTAATGAGCTTTGTCTTCATATGACTTGGAGAAGGACAGAAAGGGCCGTGCTGTCTAAAATTGTTTGAAATAGGTTTTCAGCATGCAAAATAAACTGGACAGCTCCCATGTGAAATGGATTGTAGTGTCACTCCCCCCTCTGAGGAAATTTAATCTGTCTGGCTAGTGGGAATGAGACTCACAGCAGGGACAGAAGGTATTGACTTTTCCACTTTTTAAAAAAAAAAATATTCTTTTTTTTCCCCCTTCAAATGGACTGGGGCTGTTTCATCTGAATTGTCATTCTTAAATAATTGCCTTGGTAGAAGCAGTACATTTCAACCTCATGCCATCTTTTGAAAATTTAGACTAGCTGTTGGCTTAGAGAGATGCAGCCTGACATTCTGAACCTACACACAGTGTGAAAAATTGCTTTGATCAGCTTGTGCTTATAATTTAAGGCAGTAAAATAGAATTCTCACTAATTGTGTTTAAGGCATGATGTATTGTGTAATCCACAGAGAGACTCGTTTCAAAAACACTGTAACCATAAAAACAGCTGTTCCACTGAGTCATTTTTCCCAATGTGCAACTTAAAACAAAGCAAAACAGAGCAAAAACCTGTCCCAGTTCTAACTTAGTTGTGTTGATGGAGTAGGATAATGCTGGAAATGTGGGGAAAAACAACAGAAAACTCATGTCCACATTCCTTTTTATACCAGAAGTTTGGAAACAGGAAAAAAGAGCCTTTGGAGTAAAAAAAAACCAAAACAAAAAAAACCCCAAAAAAACCCAGCAAACCAGAAAAATCTCAGTTTCTAGGAGATATTGGTATCCTAATTAAATTGTGAATAGCAAGGCATAGTCAAAATAATTTGCAAAGATGGCAATGAGTCTAAAATTAGAAAGAAAGGAATTAAAACAATAAAGATATACCAGTTGAATATCTAAAAAAATTCAGGTCATCTATGTGCTTTTGTACATATTTTCATGGTGTTCAACTAGAATACAGTCTCTAGAAGAGAATGCAGTAAGATCTGGTAAAACAGGTGGAGGAAAAAATTGCACTAGATAAAAGGCAAAAAAAAAGGCAAAACATACTGCAGGCACAGAGCATCAGTAAAAAGTTGAGTGAGCAAGTGAATAACCCTTTAATAAATTTAGAATGACCTTTCAAACACCCAGCTTTTAGAGGGAAAATATAAGCCAAGTTCTATCAAGGTAAGCCTTAAACTGAATTCCAAACAAATTTCCTTGGGGGGAGGGTGCGGGAGGTAGAACTTTTAATATGTTTGTGTGTTATGACTGTTGCAGGGCCCAGAATTTAATTTTTGTGGATCTGCAGTCCAGAGATCTTTTACTTCCCATATTGATGCTTCGGAGATGCAGAGCTCCAGAGGGCACAGAGAAGTGACGTGGCTCTGTTTTTCTTGTTTGCAGATATTTCAATAAGCTTGCTCTCCTTAGTTGTCACAGCCTGTGGTCTTGCTCTGTTTGGTGTCTCTCTGTTCGTATCCTGGAAGCTGTGTTGGATCCCTTGGCGAGAGCGTGGTCTGCCATTTGGGAACAAAGACAACAAGCAGGAATCGCTGAACTACACGGACACAGAGACCAATGACCGTGACTACAGTGAGGATTATCTGGGTCAGCCTACAGCCTATCCAGAGTCCTCCATGAAGATCAGCCACACCTCCCCTGATATTCCGTTAGACACCCAGGCGGGAACGAAGGAGAACTGCGTCCACAATGCGCGAATGCATCGGCAGATCACTGAACCAACCTCTTCTGCTCGGTCAGTAACTCCAGTTTCTCTCTGATATTAATGAATACAGATGCAGTCCAAAAAGGACAGCTTGATTATTCAATACAGTGATCTGATAAAAATGTATCATCTACTCGCCGCATTCTTTTAAAGAAAAGAATCACACAAACCTTATTCTTTGAGGTGCACAAACCTCATAGGTTTGAAAGGGCAGGATCACAATCCTATTCCACTCTTCTATAAACTACTGTCTCATTTGTGCTTCTCCCTCAGAAGCTGGATAACACAGAGCACTATGTGTCTCTTAAAAGCACCAGAACAGCCTAGATTTAGCTTGTAAAGCATATTCATTTGCACTTAGCACTGATGCTGAGCACTCAGTAATATCTCCTCAAAGATTTTTAAAACAACCAAAGAAGAAAAGTAGGGCAGGCTAATGAAACACTTGCAAGAGTTAGAAATAGGATTAAAAATCATAGATTTTAGCCACAGTCATGACTGTGGAGGGAAATGGAACTGAATAAGAGTCAGTGAAATCTCCAGGGGAACTGCAGAACCAGTACACGAGGGAAGAGGAAAGGGAGAGGGTGAGAGTATGTGCAGGGGCAGGTGATAAAAGGATTATGTTTCATACAGTAAGAAAAAGGATCAGCATGTGAAGAGCCAGTAAATATCTGAGTCAAAGCAGATGCACTTCAGCTGGAGAAGGTACAGCACTAGCCCAGTGGCTCTTTGCTAGCCTCCCTTCTGGCCATCTGGGAGAGCAAATTTAACAAAGACTCTTGCCTGCAGGCACACCTGAAACACGGGTGAGATGACAACAGCCAGTTCAGTAATTGCCAGTTGTCCAGAACATGTCTCAGAAAGAATCTGAGACGTTTCCAGAGAATTACAAATGCTAATGTCAATCTGTAAAAGAACTTGCCTCAGCATCCTGAGTGCAAAGACAAGGTCTTCTGTGCATATCTTTCTTCTGGCCACGTTCCCAGGCTGGCCCTCTCCAGCAGGTGTCACACTGGCTCTCTGCTCCCAAGGGATCCTTGTCCGGGTCCCACCCCTGCTCGATGCCATTTGCTGGCACAGAGCAGCAAACCCCTCTCTTTCACTGCCCCTCACTTTTGCCCAGATCTTCTCCAAGAGACTCTTTCACTGAGCAAGAAGGCCCTGCCTTCCTTACCCTGCATCCTTCAGCAGAGACATCACCATTGTCTCTGCTGCTTTATGCCATAACTGAGGAGCCAGCTGTGGTTTTTCTCTGTGGCCACAGAGACCAGGCAGCTGCCCCTGCTACAGTCCCTGCTAAGATGTCTCTGAAGTGCCCTCCTTTTTATTCCTCTGCAGGATATTCTGCATCTGCCACTGCAATGAGGAGCTTAAGGGTTGAAAAAATACTTATTTTTTTGGTTACGTGATGATATTTTATCCTGGAAATGACTAATGTATAGCTCTAAGATTATGTATTTATTATGCAACAAGAGAAAAAAAATTAGGGTAGTACAGAAGAGGCTGTTCCTGTTTTAAGCATGCGTAGACAGGTATTTACAAGGAATAAATGAACAATGGTAGCAGAGGAGCTATTGCTGATTAGATTCAATATAAATAGCTTTTGACTAATCCTCTGCTAGCATTTTCCATGTGCTCTTTCTGTGTTCAACCACAGCTCATGGTACACCAATAAGTGAGTGACTGCTCAATATGAATAGGACAAGAAAATGGAACCCCACTCAGATAAGATTAGGATTTTACATAATCCAACTTTCACATCCCCTCACCCCAACAGGATTTGCAATTTTGATTTCTGTTACCATTCACCAGGGAGAAATTTGAGTCACAATAAGTGAGGGACTCCAGGTAATAAATTTCACTGGACTGAAAATAAAAGCAACTTTTCATCCTTGAGTAATGAAACTAAAGGAGCTTTTCAGCCAAAGTACCACAGAGCTCATTACATCAGGTATGAGAGGAAAAAACCAAACAATTGCTGGGGTGGTCAACAAACCATTTCAGGCCAGAACGGCTCACTTGTTAATTGCAGAAATCAACAAGTAATTAAAATGCAGAGATGTCAGGAAGTGTTCTCTGAACCAGAAATCAGCAAGCTCATTTGACCCTGCTGCCATTTGCATAATGCAACTCATTTTGTAGGCATTCATTTACGGGATTCAGTCAAAAATGGCTAGTGATAAAAATAGCTGCAGTTCTTATGCCACACCGTACTTGCCAATAAGATATAGATCCTTTGGATTTGCAATGGCCATGAATTTCCATTTTGTCACCTCCTTCAGCCAGGTTGGGTTTCAGATATGGAAGCAGAAATGAAGTGCCATTAGCACTGAGGGTCAGCTCTGTGAGAACTGTTGGGTCTCACGCTTTATCCCTTCATGGATTAAAGATCTGACCCCGCCGTACGTTCCAAAAACACGTCAAGTGAGAGCAGGATCTTCCATGTGTGTGTGCAGGGACTCTTATCATCCTCAACACGTCTGTTTAAACTCTTTCATTTCCACTTAAGGCACAATTCGATCCGAAGACAGCTCAACCTCTCCAACCCGGACTTCAACATCCAGCAGGTTCAGAAACAAGAGCAGCTGACGGGGATCGGCCGCATTAAGCCAGAGCTGTACAAGCAAAGATCGGTGGACACGGACGATGGCCGGAGGAGTAACAGCAAGGCGTGTGGAAAACTGAACTTTATTCTCAAATATGATTGTGATTTAGAGCAGCTGATAGTGAAGATTCACAAGGCCATCAACCTGCCAGCAAAGGACTTCTCTGGAACTTCGGATCCGTACGTGAAGATATATCTGCTTCCTGACAGGAAAACAAAACACCAGACTAAAGTGCACAGAAAGACCCTAAATCCAGTATTTGATGAAGTTTTTTTATTTACTGTCCCATACAATGATCTGAACACAAGGAAACTCCATTTCTCTGTATATGACTTTGACAGATTCTCCAGGCATGACTTGATTGGCCAAGTGGTAGTGGATAATTTTTTAGATTTGGCAGATTTTCCCAGGGAATGTAATATTTGGAAGGATATTGAATATGTCACCAATGTAAGTATTACAGTTTTTCTTTTTGAATTTTTTTTGTTTCTGATTTCATTTCCTTGACGTGATTATAACTGAAATTGTCTGTTAAATTTATGAAGGAAAATATTCTCTCTCTTTCTCAGGCTTTGACCTTAATCCAAGGAAAATGACAGTACATTTTCAGTCCTAATTTCTTGTTCTTTGGATATATTAAAGCATGTTTTATGTAGGATATAGTGGGTTTAGTCATTGTGCTGATGATAGGGTAGTAATGCTGAAGGATGTTCTTCTCTTAATCTTACTTAATCTAAAACTTATTCAAGGAAATACTACTCCTCTTACTTTGCCTATTTTTCTGTGTTCTGCATGATTTTTCATGTAAATTACACCATACTAATTAGCTAGAACTGCAGATTCAACATTCTTTATGTAGTGATTTTCGATCCTTCAAAAGACTATATTCTCATAAATTCAGACAACCCCCCCAGGTATAATCCAGTCAAAGAGAGTTCAGACAATACTGTTCCATGAAAGCAGTGAAACACCCTGAATTGGTTTAACTCTTTGTTTGGCATCGTTTTGTTCTTAGGGAAATGGGAAACTTGTAAAGTAAGTCTCTTTTTCTGTTATCCCAAAGTCTCTGGTATCAAATTCTGAGCAGGAGTCAAACAGTGATTAGGTACTAAACCACAGAAAGTACTTTTGAAAAGGAAATCTTCTCAGAGCAGGAGCCAACCTCCTTCTAATGCCACTGGAAACGAATCCTGCCCATCCTCCAGAGAACAGACCTTCAGTGAGAATGATACATTACAGAAATCCACAGAGGTGAAGGTACCAGTGCCAAGTGTCAGTAAATATTTCATTTGCTATGTCAAACCACACTCAAATAGAGTGCACATTTTAGAGTCAAATGAACCAAACATCATTAACAGTAAGATCAAAGTGTAACTTTGTTAGACCTCAGTTCGAGAAAGCATTTAAGAATATGCTTAGCTGAGAATAAGAAGCCATTAAAAAGTAAACGATGTTCTGAGACAAATAACTTTCCTGAATTCAACTCCTCATCATATACCTCTGTGGTCTGGTACTATGCCTGTGTTACAGACCAAATTGCTTAAATCCATTTTTTTTGTTTGGAATTTCTTTTTGAAAATGGATATTTCCTTTGTTTTAAGGTGATTTCTCAGCCTTCTTGGTCAGTGTGTGGAACGTTCACTCACTTGCACAGTCCTGTCCCACACAAGGATGGAAGTGCAGCAGCAGCACGAGCAGCTCCTCACTTGGGATACAGGCAGGGCCTTGGTGTCAGAGAGGAGGAACCTGGCTTTTGTGTGAGGAGTTATTGCTTTTCAACCACAAGGGAAGAGTAAGGATGTGACAGAGCAGTTGACAGTCATTCCAAGTGAAAGACTGTCTTCATGCAGCATTAGGTGTCTCAAGATCAACTTCATTTTTTACTGTAAACTGAAAGCTGAATGCACAGGCACACTGGAGTTACTCTGATATGTACCAGTCCTTTTGCCCTGCTTTGACTTAGGCAGAAGGTTTGCTCTGGTATTTTCTTTAGAATCACTTCTCCTTCCAAATTTCAAAAGCGATGCAGCGTGTCATTTGTATTCAGATTTTCTGTAATCTCTGAAATTAAATTCAGGACTGAAACGTGAGTCATCTATTAATTTCTACTGATACTGATTCCTGTGAGAAGCGTAACACTGTTTATCCAAACAGAACACACGACCTGCCATCTAGACTTGTCACTGGGTTTCCAGCTAGCAGAGACCTTTTCAAAGCAAGTGACTCACAGTACATAGGAGACACATCCAATTTCGGGTAATGTGAGTTCTGAGATAAAAGTATCAGATAAATGAAAGTGTGGAGTACTCAGCTTACCAATTAACATTTCCAAAATTTCAAAGGTTAGAACTCACTCCGTAAAGTTATGAGAAACCCTCCACGCATCATTTAAGAAACCAAGTTTCAGCCCATTTCCTTGTCTGTGTAGCTCAGATATCTCTCAGAGTGACAGCAGAAGCTGAATCCTGCGGGCTACTCGTGAAGCTGCTGCAGTGGATACTTCTGTGGCTGCACTCCAAGCCAGCAGGCAGCATTAGTGAACCCCAGAAAGAAATTTCGGCAAAGTTTTGAGCACCATGGGGAGGTTTATGGTTGCAAACCAAAACTGTATCAAGAGTCACAGGTTTTCAATGATTTTATATTTGAATGCCTTGTTGTTTCAAATAATAATAATACTGGAGAACAGACAAATTCTTGGCAAAATTACTGAAGGAAATTCAGTTAATGTAGATCAACAAAGAGTGCACACAGGAAGGATAAAGCAAGGAAAGATGAGACAAAGGGAAGCTCCACACAAACTACACATGACAAGTTTGACATAATTCTAAAGAGTACATTCATTTTAATTCCTCGTGCATCTTATTGCACTGCATAACCAGTGAGCCCAAAGGCCTTTATTTTACATTCTTCATTTTATTATGTTCTAATCCAATTTGACACAGTAATATAAAAGAATGTATCAAATCCTTCTCTGCCCAGCAAAAAATGTCCTACTTCAAGTGAGCACTGCAGATTATGCCTGAAATGTCAGATTTACTGCAAACAATGCCATTAAACTGACCTATTATGCCATGTGCTTTCTTCTGTTTTCTAATAACACTGAAAGATTTTTTTTTTAATCCCAAACCAGCAGTTTTCATTCCTTAGACAATAACATCTGTTACCATCCCAGAGTTAAAGAGAAATTATTTCATAACACAGACACATGTCAGCATAAATTTTTTTTACATGCTTAAAAGCAATCTGCTGCCAAACATGAATCTCCAGTATCAAAATGATTGTTCTTCTAATCCCAGGTCCTCTGAACATAAAATCTCTCTCCTGTAACACTGACACTTTCTCCAAGCAGAAAAAAAAGGCATCAATGGGCTGTATAATGGGAGAAATAATTAAGTGGATCAACTGTAGATGAACATGATATGAACTAGATAAGCTTTTTGAATATCTACCAGTCAGATTACACTGGTTTCTGGTTTATCAAAAAAAAGAAAAAAGATGATTTATTTTTATTTTTAGCCTGTGTTTCTCTTGTTGCCATGTTTTGTTTAAGAGCATCTAAAACATAATCAGGTTTGGGGTGGGGTTTTTTGTTTGCTTTTGTAATTTTCATGGACTGATGGCATGTTTGAAGAGAAAAAAAGTGGTTAATATTTCCTTGGTTACCACCTTCAAACTCAGATGGGATCAGGAAAAAAAAAAAGGCTTTGTCACAAAATAAAATGAAAAACTATGGAAGAAGAAGGTGTCAGATATGAAACAGGAAGGTGTCAGATAGTCTGTTTCAGATAAAGGAGAACCTTCTCTTTCAGAAGATGCCAAGAAGATCCACTGGCATAACTTGCTGTGCATCCAGAAAGGAAAATCCTTTTTGAAGAATTGCTTGTTAAACATCATCAGGCAGCTACAGGGCACAGAGAGGATTGCTGTGAGCTAGAAATCTAGCTCTGGTTCATACTGGATGTTTCAATTCTCAAAGTGCTCAGCCTTTGGCACTTACTAAGCAGGTGATCCTTCTAGAGAGGAGTATTTAAAAGTGGCCTCAACTTAGAGCAGGGGGGTAATCAGAGGAAGAAAGAACAATATAAATTTCTACTCTTAACTGGGCCAGCATTTTCCAAAATGACTGGTCATTTTAGGAGACAATTTTCTGACTTTCATATAGTACATATAGCTTCTGCCACTGATGCTATTTTTTAGCTGTCAGATATAGTTATGTTTAATATCTAGGCATGGTACAGTGAAAACTGCTCTTTTTATGAATGTCTAACTTTATATATGCACTCAAAAAAACACCCCTTATTCATAACACCCCATTGGCACCTTTCTTTCATCTTACCTTGAGTTTGTGAATATTTCTGTAACATTCTTTCCTGAAAGGATATTTACAACAAGATTTGCAGTAATTATGTACCTAATATTCTCTAAAATGTAGCTGCCTGATTGACAGCTACAATTTATCCTTATCTGTGACTCCTTTGAGGCTCTTTGGGGTGTGCAACTTCTGTGAAGGCGTGAAGTAAATTGAAAGCCTGTTAAAGGTAGAAAGCAGTTGCTCCCATTCAAGCCATGGTTTTTTCTTTACCTGCAAACAACTGGAGGACTAGGAAGGATTCAAAGGGTTACTCTGTTTTGAATATGATTATCTTGAAGTACTTCACTGGTTTCTAGCAAAGCATTGATGAGTGTAGCATCCAGCCCCCAAAGCTATAAAACAGTAGATCAGGGTATGAAAGGAGAGTGAAAATAGAGAAGGAAATATTTCTGAAACTGAGAGGAGATTACAGAAAGAAGGCCCTGGTAATACATATAGAATTTGAGAAGTAATATGCTGCAGACTTTCAGGTATGTGTACGGTTCACTGAAACCCAAAAGATAGTTGTGGATAGTTCAAAGCTGTGAAGAAACATGAGCTGTATATCAAGTTGCTCACTCTGACATCCAGAAAGAGCCAGCATATGCTACAAGTTTTAAAGCCAAGAAATTGATTGCATCTCTTTGAAAGAATCTTCAAGCTTTTTTAGGGTCTGAGTAGTGGTCAAGAATACAGCAGTGTGTCAGATAATGATGAATTAGTTCTACACAGAAGCAGGAAACAAAAACATATTTAAAAAATAATGAATTTAGGATGTATATTGATATGCATGCTAGTGTTTTGACAAAGAAAGAGTTAAAAGTGGGATGATTATAAGTATCTGAAATTCTGCATTTTAAAAATGCTAATTGTTCACTGCTGTTGTTCTCAAGTTTGCCCAAGAAAGAAAGATTTGAGATATTTGTATTTTTAGGCATTTATGTTGTATAACTGAGATGCAACTGGAATCAAAACATCACCACAAGGAATTTTCAAGTTCTCCATTTCAGAGATGTTAATGCCAGTAAAAGTATGTGTGGAAGAGAGACAAAAAGACACTGATTTTTTCAATCAGTTGATCAGTTGCATTGGTCAGAAC